TCTGGTTAGCACAGTGATGGCTGGATGAAAAGCTGCCCTGCTGAGGGGTGGGGGCACTGAAGAAGCCAAGGTAACTTCCACCCCCATGACCTGAGCTCCAGGTGTATCCCAGCTCAGTGTCAGCCACAGCACTCCAGTGACTGCCTTGCCATCCCTACCCCACCTCTGTCAGCACAGGTGGAGAAAGATTCCACCTCCTGGGGAAGAGAACAGAGAAGCCGCAGACCTTGCCTTGGAACTCAGAGCTGGGCCCACCATGATGAATCTTAATACTGAACATACTGAACATTGAGGAGGAACATACCTCAACATACACAAGCCCACCAACAACACCAGACTGAATGAGGGAAAACTGATCTCTAAATCTAGAGTGAAAACGGATGTCAGCTTTCATCACTTTTATTCAACATAGTCTGGAATTTCTAACCAGGGTAGTGAGCAAAGAAAAAAACTAAAAGACATCCAAATTTCAAAGAAGGGAACTAAATTGTCATTGTTTTCTGATAATGTGATCAAAGATAGAAAGCCCCAAAGACCCTACCAAAAAACAACCAGAACAAATAAATCAACTCTGCAATGTCGAAGGAGACATAATCAACATACAAAACTCAGTAGCGCTTCTACGTGGTGATAGAGTGTTATCAGAAAAAGAAGTGCAATCAGCAACTCCATTTATAATAGCAACAATAAGACAAGACTAATAAATTTCACCAAAGCAACAAAAAAAGAACACAATAAAGAGGATGAAAAATTGTTGGAAGAAATCGAAGAGAATACACACAAGAAAGGAATGATAACTGTGACTGTGCACTGGGAGAAGCAATATTGTTAAAATGTCCATACTGCCTAGAGCAGTCTATAAATTCAACGTAATCCTTATCAAATACCAATGGCATCCTTCCCAGGACAAGATAGGGCCATGCTAAAAGTCATAGGAAATCACAAAATCCCCTCAATCACTAAGGCAATCTTGAGCAAAGAACAAAGCAACAGGCACTACACTGTCTCACTCAAAATATGCTGTACTTATAGCAATCAAAACAATATAGCATTGATATAAAAATGCATATAAAAACCCATGTGACAAAATAGAAAGCCTAGAAATAAACCCAGGCCCTGATATCCAAGGGATTTTCCACAAAGTGCTAAGATCACACAGTGAAGAGAGGACAGTCTCTTCAATCAGCAGTGCTGGGAAAACTGGAGATCCGCATGGGGAAGAGGGACGTAGACCTACACATGCAAAAGGGCGTTCAAAATGGGTCCCGGCAGTTCATGGAAGACACACACTGTGAAAGTCAGGAGAAAACCCTGGAGAAATGCTTCACGACATGGCACTGGGAAGCTGCTGCTGCTTTTTTTTCTAATAAGACCACCTTAGGAGGAATAAGACCAAAAACAGCCCAATGGGATTACATCTAAGTGAAAAACTTCAAAGAAGATAATCAACAGAATGGAGAAACAACATACAAAATGGAAGAAAATATCTGGAAACTACACATCTAAAAAGGAGTTAATATCCAGAATATATAAGGAACTCAAGCAACCTACCATCAAGAAACCAATAACATGCTTGTAAGTTGGCCAAGTGACATGAACGTGTTACTGGAGAATGGCAGGGTTCTTGTCTTTGAGCATGAAAGAATTCAGGCATAAGACAGACTAGTGGAAAGTAAAAAGTAGCAAAGTTTATTAGGGAAGGGACATCCGTAAAGACGGAAGGGCACCTCTCCAGACAGGACCTGAGAGAGAGTGCAGTCGCTCGGACTGGGGGGAAGGAGCAAGGTTACATGGTTGAGTGGAGAGATTACACCTGGGCAGGCAGGCAGGCAGGCAGGCAGGCTACTCAGCATAGAGGAAGAGGGCTGAGCGAGCTGTCATGTTGATGCCGGGTGTGTGTGTGTGTGTGTGTGTGTGTGTGTAGGAGATGGGTCTTTTCTTCACACATCTCCTGAAACAAAGGATTTTATGGATGTAGACATTAAGGAGCTCCTGAGTTTTCCCTGAAGGCATCAGACAGGAGGAAGCCTCGCTGGCATCATCCTGGGTTCAGAGGAAGGGTGAGCAGGACCCCCTGGAGAATCAGGATCCTGAGCAGGGTGTTTGAGATGCAGATACTGGGCTGCATCTGGGAGACTGTGGAAGATTTGTCAGGCAGGAGGGGCGGGGACCCCCACCTGGCAGGTTATCAGGTAGAAGGGGGCAGGGCAGGATGCGAGTACCCAGCTGCCCCTGAAACATTACCAGGATGGCTTTGAGATGCATGTGCTGGACATAGAAGTCTTCTCTTTAGGCCCGTTACACACACATAAGCTCATATCTAATTCCTACCTAACAAATGGAGAATTCTCAAAAGAAAAGACAAACATCCAAGACACACACACACACACAATCAACATCACTAATCATTGTGGAAACAAATTTAAACCATAATGAATATTGCTTCACTCTAGTTAGAATGACTATTATCAAATTTCGCAAAAGATAACAGGTGCCAGTGAGGATGTGGAAAAGAGAGAACACTAGAACACTATTCACGAGAGTACAAATTAGCATAGCCATTATGGAAAACAGGATGGATTATTCTCAAAAAATATTAAAGCTGGAACTACCATACGATATAACAATCTCTCAAACTGGAATGGTGTCTGAGACCCGGCTGCTCCACTTCTGAACCAGCTCTCTGCTATGGCCTGGGAAAGCACTAGAAGGTGGCCCAGGCACATGGGCCCTTGCACTCGCATGGGAGATCCAGAAAAAGCTCCTGGCTCCTGGCTTCAGATCTCTGCACCTCTGGCCATTTTGGCCAGTTGGGGTGTGAACCTCTCTCTCTCCCTCTCCCTCTCTTCCTCCCTTTCTCTCTCCCACTCTCCTTTCCCTCCCTCCCCCTTCTCTCTCTGTGTAACTCTGACTTTTCAAAATAAATAAATAAATCTTTAAAAAAAGAAAAATCTGTGTGTGTTTGAGTGTGAGTATACACACACACACACACAATACTATGACGGTTATAAGGAAAAGGGGTGCAGAACTGAGAGGAGACAGGATATGAACTCACAGCCAAAATGAATTTATTGAAGAAAAATAAATGGCAGAGATTGGTGACCAACTGCCAGTGTGCACACAGACTGAACACATGGTAGAGGGCGCAGACCCCAGCGGACTGGGCTTTCTATCTTAGGGTGGGCTAGAGGTCTGCAGGGGAGGGAGAGTAACTGATGAATCTGAGTTGCTCTGCACAGATTCTTCAAGCTTGGCTTTGCCTTCGAAACCTGGAGAACAATGCAGGGGCAGGGTGGGGACGATACAGGTTGTGAGACTGGACTGGGATGCAGGGGTAAGAGAAAAATTCAAAGGATGTATGGATAAAATGTAAATTCTGATTTTATCTATTTTCGGGAAAGGAGCTAGATAGAATGGCTGCGGAGTATGCCTTTGTTCCATCAAGGGTACTTCCCAAGGGTTGTAGAAAATGCAATGAAGACAAAAGTTCATTTTGTTACAAAGATTTCTGGAATGCACACATAGTTTTTCGTAACTGGCAATTTCCACAAATTTTTTGAAGACCCCTTGTATTTAGCCATAAAAAAGGACTAAACCTTGTCATTGGTGAAAATGTAGATGGAACTGGAGGCTGTTAGTTTTAAGCAAAACAAGCCAGCTACAGAAACACAAACAGCCCTTGACCTCAGTCATAGGTAGAAATCAAAACTTGACCTCACTGAAATTGAGAGCAGCACAGCAGTTCCTAAGCACCAACAGCATAGAGGAGAGGGAGAGGGAGGGAAGGACTGGTCAGCGGGAACAAGTTCAGTTAGGAGAAAAGTGCTGGATTCATCTGCACAGTTGCGTGACCATAGGTGACGAACACACGTGATATATTTCAAAACAGCCAGGAGAAAAAGATTTTGATGCCGTCACCACAAAGACATGAATAAAGTTTGAGGAGACCAATGAAACAGAATAGAAACACCCAAAATCAATTCAAGCATCTGTAACCAACTTCTCTTTGACGAAGGAGCTTATATCAACCCCTGGAGCAAGGACAGTCTCTTCAACAAATAGTGCTGGGAAAACTGGATTGCCACATGCAGAAGCATGAAACAAGACCTTTACCTGACACCTTTCACCCAGATCCACTCAAAATGAACTAAAGACCTAAATCCACAACCGAACATCACCAAACTATTATAGAATATTGGGGAAACTCCACAAGACATCGGCACAGACAAAGAGTTCCCGGAAAAGACTCAAGAGGCACAGGCAATCAATGCCAAAATCAACCAATGGGATTACATCATATTGAGAAGCTTCTATACTGCAAAGAAACAATCAGCAAGGTGAAGAGACAACTGACTCCCCACCACCCAGTGTGGCTTCCATATGGAAATCAAGAAACAACAAGTACTGGTGAAGATGTGGACAAAAAGGTCCCCTAATCCACTGTTGGTGGGAATGTAAACTGTGGAAGACACTATGGAAGACAGTATGGAGATACCTCAGAAATCTGAATACAGACCTATCATATGACCCAGCCATCCCACTCCTGGGACTCTACCCAAGGGAAATGAAATCAACATATGAAAGAGCTCTCTGTTCCTGCATGTTTATCACAGCTCAAGTCACATTAGCAAAGACATGGAATCAACCCAAATGCCCTTCAACTGAAGACTGGAGAAAGAAATTGTGGGATAGCTACACCATAGAACACTGCACAGAAGCAAAAAAAAAAAAAAAAAAAAAAAAAAATGAACTCCTGTCATCTGCAACAAAATGGATGAGACTGGAAAACATCATACTTAGTGAAACAAGCCAGTCCCAAAGGGACAAATTCTGTATGTTCTCCCTGACCTGGGATAACTAACAGAGTACCTTAAGGACAACATGGAGAAA